AGGTGGATAATATCATTAAATTGGGCGAAGTATTTCTATATTTCATGATTTGTGTACGTATAAAATACTACAGTCAGCTTCATTGAGTTATTGAATTCAAAGATGTGCATGTTTTGTCTTAGGTTCTTGTTTCCGTTTACCTGTGATATGCTAGAAAACTACTTTCGTTTGATTAAATTTATGATTTAAGTTACATGTACTGATGGTACAATAAATAATTTACGTTATTAATACTCTATTCCAAGTTGTCATATCAGACTTACTCAAGTTCATCCTTTTTCATTTAAGTTTCTATTTAGTGCAATCTATGTTAGTACTGACTTAACAACTAGGCAAGCTTTATGGGAAAACCTTATGTGTATTTATGATAATTACAAAGGACCTTAAATTTTAGGAGGTGATTTTAACGAAGTAACTCATGCAGTGGATAAATTTGGAGGTCTACCTATTAGTCATGCACGTTCTAATAAGCTACTAGAATGTTACAATTATTGCAATCTAATAGATTTAGGCTTTAAGGGTAGTCGTTTTACATGGACTAATGGAAGACATACTGGTGCTAATATTCTTGAACGTATAGATCATGTTATGGCAAATTATAGCTGGTTAAACCATTTCCCTGAGGCAATGGTAACACATCTCCCATATACCCATTCCGATCATTGCCCTATCAAAATAGAGCTACAATACAGACCTTTACCTCGAAAAAATATTTTTAGATTTGAAAATATTTGGACAACTCATCCTTCTTTTTCTAATGTTGTTGCACAAGCTTGGTCTAATAATTTACATTTACTACCTGCTATAGAGGAGTTTGCACATCTAGTGCAAGAATGGAATTCTTCAACATTTGGTAATATTTTTAAGCAAAAAAGGAAACTCCTAGCCCGTTTGGGAGGAATCCAATCTTCTATGCATTATCCAACTAGTCTTTCCTTCAAAATTTGGAACAACAACTAAAAAAGGAGTATAACCATATACTAAGATTAGAGGAAGATTTTTGGAAATTAAAATCACGCATAAATTGGTTAAATGATGGTGATGCAAATACAAAGTTTTACCATCTAACCACTTTAAATCAAAGAAGAAATAATAGAATAACTGCTATTCAAGATCAAGGGGGAAACTGGATTACAAACCCCCACCAAATAAAGGAAAGTATTATTCTTTTTTATAAAAATTTATTCACTACTACAAATACAGTTTCCTACTCAAAAACTAATCTCTTTCCTACCAATGTCCTAACTAGAGATGATCAGCTTCAATTAATCCATCCCTTACAAGATGAGGAAATTATGAACTCAATACATTCATTTCAACCACTAAAGGCGCCTGGACCGGATGGCCTACACCCCCTTTTTTATCAAAAATATTGGGACACTATAGGTCCCTCTGTCAAATACTTTTGTCATAAGGCTTTTCAAGATCATCAGATTGATCCTAAAATCAACACAACTTATATCTGCCTTATTCCGAAAAATGATAATGCATCCACAATTTCACAATATAGGCCCATAAGCCTTTGCAATATCATCTATAAGATAATTACTAAATTATTGTGAACCGGTTAAAACCAATTCTTGAACACATTATTCACCCTAGTCAGGCCAGTTTTCAGGAAAACAAAAGGTCAGCTGATAATGCTATAATTGTACAAGAAATCATTCATAATTTTGAAAAAATTAAGGGTATCAATATTAAAATGCTTCTCAAACTAGACATTGAAAAAGCTTTCGACAAGTTGGAATGGTCTTTCATTCATCATACACTAATTACCCTAAATTTCCCTCCTGACTTTGTTAAATTAATTATGTCTTGTATCACTACTACTTCCACGTCAATTCTTATTAATGGTAATCCCACTGAATACTTTCAACCAACAAGAGGCATAAGACAAGGTGATCCCTTATCACCCTATATATTTATTCTATGCCTGAAAATGTTATCACGAAAAATAACCACAGCAGTAGATTATCGGGCATGGCTACCAATTTCATTAGCAAATGGAGGACCTCAAATCTCCCATTTATTCTTTGCTGATGACATTATACTTACATCTCAAATCAATGCTCAAACGTCCCAATCAATTCTTAATACCCTCACCCAGTTCACCAGACAGTCTGGTCAAACTATTAACTTTGAGAAATCTAAAATCTACTTCTCAAAAAATTGTTCAGACCTAATCAAACAAAACATTCTTCAACTCTTTCATATGGATGAAGGAAAAGGTTTTGGAAAATATTTAGGTTATCCCATCTTTTTTAAAAAGCAATCCAAAAGGGATTACCAGTTCCTACTAGATAAATTTAAAAGCAAACTAGCAGGGTGAAAAATAAATTTTCTAACAAGGGCAGGTAGAGCTACTCTAATACATTCTACTTTAAACCAACTTCCAAATCATCTGATGCAATACATCAAATTACCCGCTTCTCTTATTAAACAACTAAATCGATATCAAAAGAATTTTCTCTGGGGAACAACACCACAAAAGAAAAAAATGCACATGATGAAATGGTCTACAGTTACACAACCTATCCACCAAGGAGGATTAGGTATTCAAAATTGAAGTGTCAAAAACCAAGCACTACATGCAAGCCTTGCTTGGAGACTTTTTAATAATCCACATCAACTATGGGCACAAGTGCTCTTACATGCTAATCTGAGACCATCCCCTCTCTCCAAAAGCATAGGGTCTAATACATGGCGCAACATTATGAAGGGTTGGTCGTACTGCCGTCTAGGGTATAAGTGGAAGCTCACTACTGGTCAACATGTTAGGTTTTGGACTGATCCATGGATCCTCCCAAATATCATCCTCCGAAACTACGTGGAAGGACCTCTACCTAAATATGAGGAGACAAAATTGGTCTCAAATAATTATTACAATAACGCCTGGCATTTAGAGAAATTACCTATGATTTTACCAGCACGTTTGCAATCTCTAATAGCAAGACTTTACATGCCAATTACACCTGTATTGCCTGATCAAATTTATTTGGCTATCACAGCCAATGGAATTTTTTCAACTAATTCTATCTACAACACCCTAATAAAGATATCTAATACAACGACCACTGATACAGCTCAATCCTACAGGTGGATATGGAAACTACACATTCCACCAAAAATAAGTTTTTTCTTATGGTTAATGTCTCACGACAGACTCCCAACAACTTCTTACCTTGCACGGTTAGGTATTCTTAATTCAGACACATGCCAACAATGTAAAACAGGTCCGAAAACAATTCTCCATATTTTTTGGGTATGTCCTTAGGATAAATTACTCTGGACATCTCTAGGAATTCAAATAAATACAATCAACACTTCTATAACACATTCTACCATTCTTAACTGGTTGCACCAACTTGTCATCAAAGTGTCACAATCAACTGCTCAGAATATTCCAAACACAACACTTATTCCCTTTGCCTTGTGGCATCTTTGGATAGTCAAAAATAAACGCTTAATGGAAAATCAAAAATGCACTCTTTCTACTTCTTTTATTCTCAAAACAGCTGCTGAATACTACTTTCTCACAAATCCTCCAAAAAAACGACACTCCCTAATACCTGTTTATATTAAATGGCATCCACCAAAGCGAGAAACCTATAAACTGAATATTGATGGCTCATGTTGCCCAAGTAAGGGAAAATATGGCTTTGGTGGTGTATTTAGGAGTGCAACAGGACACTGGATAATAGCGTTTGCAGGACGAGCACAAGAATGTACAACTGAACAAAACAGAACTCCTTGGACTGCTCATGGGACTCAAAATAGCATCACAAATGAAGATAAAGCCACTTATTATTGAAACAGATGCGCAAGCACTTATCGCTATGTTTAAATCTCCTACAGTCCAATACACTAACATTATCAATGGCTGTAGGTCATTACTTCGACAGTTGGATAGCCCGTCTCTACTTCATATCTACAGAGAGCAAAATGGTGTTGCCGACAGCCTAGCTACATATGGAGCAATGCATACAACGGAGCACTGCTTACTTTTTGGAAAACCACCACTTTTTGCTATGCCCTCTTATCAACAGGCTCAACAGGGCTCGTTACAAAGAAGACTAATCAAGAGTAGCACTACTGCTTCAGCACAATCACCTTTTGCCTCAAATGTTTTGTATAATGTTAATAGTTTATCTAGGGATATGACATCTACTACTACTATGTTGCCTAGTTTTAATCCTACTACTACTACTAGTTCTAGTGCCGTTGTACAACGGATGCCTCTAATGCATCTACTAAACAAGTGTGTTGTAACTTGTTAATGTTTATATAATATAACTTATCTTTCACACCAAAAAAAAAAAAATATTTACGGTCATTTTACAAAACTTAAACTCTTAAATTTAAATTTAATCGAGGATGTCTGTCAAATCTTAGCTTCTAATTGCACTTTATAAGTTGTCACACTTGCAGAAAAGATCGACTCATAATCTTAGTCAATACTAAGACTTTGAACCGTGATATCACAAGGTTTTGTCCTTATAATAAAACTTGTTATATAAATTAGGGAATTTAAAAGTAAAGTACTAACATAAATCAATAGTGCTACTTGTAAAATTAGATTTGTCTATGATTTTTGTGGCATTGTCAGGTTCCATGAACATACAAATTAATATATTGAAAAAGCAGTTCCAAATAGCCTTTGGGTGTGACCACTTCCTTCATTAATCCCATTATGCTCCCTATATATCCCCACACCTCCTAAAAGTACTCTGTTTGTGATAGATATTATATTTTCTTATTAGTTGGTTCATAAAAAATAAGTAATAACTTTGTATATTTAAAAAGTATTTAATTTTATTTTTCTTTTATTTTCTAAAACTATCCAATATATATATATAAAGGTTAGACATATTTTTTTTTACAAGTTTGAAACACTTTTTTTTCTTTTTTGGACTCGGCCTTGAATTTAGAACGAAAGGAGAGTAGAAATACATCAACATATTTAAACTCTTCTTCTCACGCTTTTGTCCCAAACCCTCATCTCCCTTTAGCCTTTATCTCTTCATTTCATTCTTCAGAAAACCTCAAAAAATTCATGGATAGGAGAGATATAGAAACTCACGATTTCATGAACGTGGAATCTTTCTCCCAACTGCCCTTTATTAGACCAGCACCAATAAAAGAAAAGGCAGCCATTAGGCTTTTTGGCAAAGAATTAGGTGGTCGTGAGGAATCTAAATCTGTCGATACCAATAACAATAGTCAAGATCAAGAATCAAAAGACAGTGCTGTCAATGTCTCCGACAACCGAAAATTTGTATGTAACTATTGTTGTAGGAATTTCCCAACTTCACAAGCATTAGGAGGCCATCAAAATGCACATAAAAGAGAACGTCAGAATGCCAAAAGAGCTCAACGTCAGCCACAAAATTTTCATATTGGAAATGTTAATGGCACTTATTTTCATAGTTCCAGGAGCAGTACTACTAGCTTTTATGGAAATCGTCATGTTTATAATGGTAGCCATTATTCTCAAAATCGTACTATAAATGGAAGTCCCTTGGCCTTTTGGAGAAGTCATTCTTCTCCTCTTTCTAATTATGCTTGTGACCGTTCCAAGATGATAGATCCATTGCCAGTGTATGTTAATGGAAATTTGAAGACCAATAGCAGCTCTATTTCTTTAAGCCGATTTGGGTATGAACTGAAGGAAGGAGTTCAAGATCATGTGAGTTTAGATCTACACTTGTAAAGACCGTCCAAGTAGTAATAATTTCTCTTCTTCTTTTTTTTTTTTTTCTTTTTGACTGTCCAATTTAATTATTTCTCTACTATTTGAAAGTGGCTACAGTCTTTTCTATGTTAGATTCAAGTGTTTATCACACTTCATGCTAGTTGATTGCCCATCTATTTCTTTTGAGACTTTTTTGTACTAGTTTTTGAAGAATGTCTGGCCATTGTTATAATAAACATTAAGCAATATATATTGTCTAGAGCTAGTACACATACGTGTTTATTCTTTCTTTTCTTGTTTTGTGTGTGTGTGTGTTTGAAGCTGGGAAGTCGGGTGGGAAGAAGCCTAATTAGTTGTAGGATACTAGGCTACTTATGAATTATTTTTTGGATCTGAAGAAATTAAATATGCATGGGACAAGGAGTAACAAGGTGAAAAAAGGAAGGATGGAATATGTTTGACCAAAAAAATGAAATTTTGACTAAAGCTATAATTTAGAAGAACACGGATTACTGATAATCGCAAGAATGTATAAAAGAAAGTAATTTGAATAGCCAGAATATAATTGAATAAAGCAAGTAAACCAAAGTATATTCAGATGATCTTTTTATGTCCCTAAAATTGTTCAGCCTTCCCCTTTTTATAGCTATTTTTGAGATATATGTCTTGCCTTTGTCATAATAAGGTTATTATGAGTAATAAATGACATTGAATGCTACGTTACATAATCATTACATTTAAGACAGATTCTCTAATGTTTCCAGCATTTAGTGCTTATCAAATACTGTATTTGGACCCTCGTATGCTGTCAGATTCATTCCCTTGACTCTTCTTGATTATTGAACTTAAATTTCTTGAATAGGTACGGGCGCTGAATCCTTTAAATAACCGCCCGTGCATCTTCCTTTGCTTTTGCTCGCATCTATTACTACTCGTGTCTCTTGGCTAACTGTAACTCTTTGATCATTTGACCAGCCTACGTGTCATGACACGTCATCTTCACACTTTTTAATATGTAAACTCAATTTTTCCCAATACAGATAGTCCCCCCACTTGCCATTTATTCATCAATTGAATTTGGGAAGTGGATTTCATTAAAACGGGAATTTTTGTCACCATTAATGTTGTGACAGAATTGACACTTCAATTGTCACTTCCATTTAATGTGTTTCACATGTGTCACCTTCCTATTGGTTCTGCAATTTTGCAGCACTTTTCTAGGCTTTCTTTTCGGCTTCCCTGTTCACGAAGTGTCAGTTATCATTATTATCGCCCTTCATTATTGCACTTTTTCCTTTCACGGTTGATCATCAATATAAATATAACTTCTTTCTTTGTCTTTGTCTCATAAAGTTTACTGAACACTTTATTTTTCAAATCTCTGTTTGTTTCCTCCTCGTATCATCTTTTTTCATTATGTCTTCGTCGAACCCTAACCCTAGAAAGGCTTCCATTGTTGATACCTTCCCTAGTACTCTTAGCAGGGGGAGAAGGGGAGGTAGGCACCGTAGTTCGAGATCTGCACGAGGCCCTTCTGTTTTATCTCCTGGTTCTGGCCCTTCTTCCAGAACCAGAGGTTCCCTTTCTCAAAAATCTTCCTCTAGGGGTAAAGAACCCTCTGAACCATTACGTGAACCTTTAGTAGAAGAGATAGTCCCTACGGAATTGTCTTTTTATCATGACAGGGACTCTCTTAGGAATCAAGTTTCTGCTTTAGATCATGCTGATGCTTTTCCCACTCAGATTATAGAAATTTTGGCTCCTGTAATTCGTAAAGATTGCCATTGGAGTGATGACTTTCCTATCATTATTCCTAACCCAAATCAGAGAATCACTTCTTACTTGATGGGGTTTTCTTTTGTTTATACTTACCCTTTCACCTTAAGGTTCTAACCAGCTATTGACCCAGTCATTCTTGATTTTTGTCGTTTCTTCGACGTTTGTTTGGGTCAAATTGGCCCAATCATATGGAGGGTTGTTGCCTGTTTAAGGCATTTAACCAATTCTGCTGGTGTCCCCTTTACTTTCCCTCACTTAATTCATCTTTACTCCACTAGGCTTTTTCGCAATGGTGTTTTCACACTATTAGCCAGGAGTAAGAGGGTTTTGGTGAGCCCTGAGAATGACAAGGACCCTGGCTGGTATGCCCAGTTTGTTGCTGCCCCCACTGCTGGTTTAGTGGGTGAAGATAACGTTCTCTTCCCTGAGAAGTGGAACTTTGCACGTAAGTCTTTTATCCTGTTCGTGACTTTTTCCTTCAAGTTTATCAACTTTTCTAATGTTGCTTCTCTTTCTTCTTTTTTTTTAGCAACCATGTGAGTTGTGGGAGATGTTCCCAATTTTCGTGGTTGGGTAGACAAATTACTGAAGACTGCACCAATTCAGGGTGGGCATATATCGGGTAAAACCGATAACCCGAACCATTAATTATTTATTGGGTTATCGGTATTGGGTTATTGGGTTAACGGTTCGATAACGGGTTAAAAAAAAATTTTATTGGGTTATCGGTTCGGGCTCGGTTTGGCAATTTTGTTATTGGGTAAAACCGATAACCCAATAAGGATTAACTAATTTACTAGTTTACCCTTAAGTATATACATAATAGGGTTTCATAATTCATACTTCATAGTTCACTCTTTGATTTCCCTATTCTTTCTCAGTTTCTCCGCCTTACGCCCTCACCAGTCAGCCCGTAAAGACTCAGGCCCACGTCAGTCGCATCACGCCCTCACCAGTCAGCCCGTCAAGACTCTGGCCGGCGTCAGTCGCATTTCTCAGCTTCTTCTTTCACTTTTCAGTCGCATCTTCACTTTATTTCTCAGATTCTTCAGTCGCATCTTCTTCACTCTTCAGTCGCATTTCTTAGTTGAAGTGTTGAACTATTAGTGTTGAACTCTGTTCTATTGTTGCAGATTTAGTTCTATTGTTCTATTGTTAGCAGAATTATTAGTTCTATTTTTGGCAGAGCTATTTGATGAAGTTGTTCAGTCTTCAAAGCAATCGAAGGGTAGTGACTCAACTTCTCACTTTTTCTTTTGACATTTACAAAAATTGCATCACAAAACATGTGCATCGTGGCTGACACCTGTATTTGTTATTCATTTAGATCCCTTGTATTTGCAGAAAGTGTCGAAGTGAAAATATGACTGATATTTTGTTTTTTCGTTACTGACTGATATTTTGATTTTTGTTTATATTTTTCGGGTTGAAGAATGAAAGATATAAACTTTGGTTAGTGTTTATTTTATTGGATGTTGCAGTAAATTATAATTCTTATGAAATAGAACAGTTCTAAAAAGAGTTTTAGCAAAACTATTCTTAAAATCTTATAAAACTGTTTTAGCAAAATAGTTTTATACCGAAATTGTTTTATACATTGCGAAACAGTTTTATACATTGTGAAGCTATTTTAGTTATTTTATCTCATCGGGTAAACCGATAAACCGATAATGACCAATAACCGATTAACCGATAACCGATAATCAATATCTTATCGGTTTGGTTATCGGGTTATGATATTTGTTAACCGATAACCGATAGGCAAAACCGATAATATTCATAACCGAACCGAACCGACCGATGCCTACCCCTAGCACCAATGGATGGGAGGTCTTGGAAGACACTTTCTAACCGTTTTGGTTGGGAAGTAAAGACTCATGGTAAGAGCTTCTTATTCTGTTTCATCTTTCATGCATATGTTTCTCTTAATGGCTCTAATTTCAATTCATCTTTTTGTCAGGATTTGCTATTCGAGGAGTTACTGTCGAGGCAGTTGCGGCTTCTCGTGCTTCCTCTTGAACTCGTATCTCTTTGGAAAGGGCTCAAGAAATAGTCCTGGGTTCTTCAAAGAGAAAAGCCATTGAAGAAGAAGATTCCGAAGAAGAGGAGAATAACGGGGTTTCTTTAGTGAAACGGCCTCGAGCTCGAAGACGCATCATTTCTGATGACGAGGCTGAAACATCCCCCCGCCAATCTGTGTCTCTCACCGAGCCTACTGAAACCCTGGTGGTAATTCCCGTATCTGATGATGACGTAGCTCCCCTAGATACTCTTGAATCCATTGACCAACTTTTCATCAGTGGCTTCGGTAGTGGAAGTTTAGGGCCCGTTTTAGATGAAACTCCCCTGGCCTCTTTTTCAACTCCCGTGCCTATGATTTCTTCCTTACCAACCCCAGCTGTTTCTGTTCCTTCCTCTACTGTTTTTACTTCTTCTACCGCTCCTCCTTTGACAATTCCCCCTCCTATCATTCATCATATGGAAGTGGTCTCTTCAAGTAAAAGTGCTGCCATGAGGAGGGTAACTATTGAAGTTCCTGCTGATAGCAGCCTTTTGAGAAAGTCAGGTCAGGCGGATGTATGGCTAGAGCCATGTGTGGCGGTGAGAAGAAGTTCATGTGTTGGAAACATGGGGCATAGATCATCCCCGTGTGGTGTTGTGGGTAGAATGGGAGAGTCCCCATGATTTGATTGAAACTGCATAGCGGAGGAGTTGTTGGGTGTGCCCATGGTGAATGTGTTGATGATGAAGGCTTGGTCTGGTCCAACATCAGTGGTGTGTGAACGTTGGACCACTGTGTCTGAGCAACTGCCTCCATCCCTAGTCTCATCCCTTTTGTGACAATCTCCGCTAGATGAGTTGGGTTCTGGACCAGTAAAATTATTTCCTGATTGTTTAGTTCCATTATAAATATTAGAGAATATCCATGTAGCCCCATCTCTAACCACGACTGGAGTGGATATTCCAGTGGTGGCATTTGGGAGGTGTATATGAGTGGTGTTGTGGGATTTGGATGAGGTGGTCCGCTCATTCTCCTTCAAGTCCAAGAGGAACTTGTTGAGTTTTAAAGATATCCGTCGAAATGGATATCATATTGAGACAATAGATGAGAATAATCTTGAATATTTCATCATTAGCCCAATTGAAAAAGCAAAGCTGGAGAGCCATAGTTCCCTGACCCTAATGAATGATATTATGCACGCCACTTTGAAGCTATTTTCCTTCTTTCCTTTCTTTACTTTGTAAAAAAAAATTTATCTTTGGGATTCTTATTCCTTTTCCCTTTTTATTTAGGCCAATCTTATCGGCACAGAAATGATGAACAGAATCCCCCTCTTA